ATATTTGATTCATAAAGTAATAGAACCATACACCATAACTCATGATATGTTATATATTTTTCCAAAGATTGGAATTTAAAGTATATAAATTTTATTTAAAACAATTTAAAATGATTTTCTAAAATATAAAATACTTTAATATGAATTAATAAATATTATTATTTAAATTTATTTATTCCTAAAATTATCAGATAGTTTTAATAAAAAACATTAATTATTATCTTTAGTATGATTAAAGAAAAAATATATTGTGACTTTATATTAAAAATCTCAATAATAATATGCTTGTCATGCTTGAAACAACCTTGAAATGGCCATAAATTTTAATCAAACCATCTTATAATTTAATATTTTGTAAAGGTTTCAAATAATATTATATTATATAGTTTATAGAATCTCGTCTCAGAAATACCTCATAAGCAATTTTTAATATCTATATGTTTTCACCTTGGCTTACAATGAAAGAAATGTAATATCTTTTCATAAAGAATTGGGTTATTTTGAATATTTAAAGTTTTATGATAATTTATAAATGAAGATATTAACATTTTCACCATTCTTATCACTATAATATTTTAAAATGCATAACATAAGTACATTCCATTTGTTAGAGTTATAATTAAATTTCAGATTATAAACATTAGAGAAATAAAGTAATACAAAAGTAACTAAAAGATATTTTTTCAAGTTATTTAAAATTAATCATTAGTTACTTTTATAAAATAAATATTATATAAACAACTTTGTATTACAAAATAAATGTATTAGTATAAAAACATTAGAAGCAAGGGGATAGGCTAGATAGCTAATCTACAAATAAATATATTTAAATAATTTTATTTAAAAAGTTAAGCCTTTTTTACCAAATATATTCAAAACTTCTTCAGTCAAAATAATCTCCTTTCCAGTAAAAATTTTAAGGTTTAGCTTCTATTTTCTTTAATGTAGTTTTTTAAAATAGTTATAATTGGCATATTTAGGATAAGAGAACATATTGGATATTGGTCATACATAATGTAGAGCTTGATGTAAATTTGATTCATTATTATAGGTTCTCATTAAGTATTGCTGATTGAGCATCAATTTATATTAGACAGCAAAAGAGGAGAGATGACAAAAGTAACTAAGATTGAGATCTTTCCAATGGCAAAGACACTTAAACTTCGTTGAAGAGAAAGATTGGGACATGATTAAATTATAGGGAATATACTATTAGTTATGGTTATTTTGTCTTCTCCTCAACTTCTCATAATTAAGAAAAATTCAAAATTCCTACTTTTATGGCATCAAATAAATTATGTTCACCTTAACAAACTTTTACTTTAAACATGTGTCATAATCAAAATGGTAAAACTTATATATGACCAACTTTGCTAGTTGCAAATAGTCTTTATGGTATGATGTTCTGAAATGTCCTAAGGACACCTTGAAATGCACTCTCTTTAGTGCAAATACTACATAGTCAGTATTCTTAGTCGTTAAGTGCAGTCTTCAATGCCTTTTGGTGCCTTCAAAGACTTTTTCTCAAGCTAAAAATTAAAAAAACGATATATGAGCTAGTCTTTTTAGAAAACAAGATTTTACCTTCTCTTGCATCATTTCTATATGAATCAAATACAGGGATAGGAGACATAACACAGTTGGAAGACTTGAATTGTGGGTGATAGGAGTGAAACACAATGAAAGTGACATGTGTACCATGTTGGAGTTGGACTCAAGCTCCATCTCGGACTCAAGTTCCAGCTCAAACATGGACACATGGGGTGAAACAAAGCACTTGTCTCCCTGGGGCATGGTAGGCCATGAGCATCAAAAGGATAGTGGGGGATAGGAGTGTTGGGCAACCGAAGTTAGACCTCAGGTGGGCAAATGTGTGATAAGCAAAGCAAGCTGGGAGGCACTCAAGGGTGAGGTTGAGTATCAAAATGTGAAAGATACTCTTAGTAATCGCATGAGCACTATATTCATCAACCATTCCCTCACTTGTGTATAATGAAGTGACAAGACAATAGTCATGTACACTCACGTAAAATTGGGGCAGCCCTTCCAAAACATTTTATTGCAAAGCTTTACACAAATATATATTTATGAAAATAGATTATTGCAAAAATGTGGAGAATGAGATAGTCATAAAATAGGACGCTTTTTTATGATTGACTTTGAGATACTTTTTGCTGTAAACTCCGGACTGTAAACACTCTTCAACGTCTTTGAGCACCTTCGATATTCCCTCAGCCTTTCTCTCAAGCTAAAGAACAGCAATATTATGAGCTATTCTTAAGAAAAACAAAAACTCTTACCTCTTCCTTCTTGTCTTGTATTCCATTTCCATAATAATCTGTTGAAACTCCACCTTTAACACGCCCTTGAGTGCCTCCCAGCTTGCTTCGATTATCACACAGTTGCCCTCGCTTTCTGATTCTAAAACACCATTGTGTTTCAGTTCCATCACTCCCTTCTTAAATTCAGGATCATCCACCTCCTTGGCACTATACCAGTTCTTGAAATTTGTCCACAGTGAATTGAAGCGATGCACAGCGTTCATGAACCATTCCCTCACCTGTGTATAACAAAGTGAGAAAAATAAACAAGACGCTAGCTACAGATAATCACAAACGCAAAACCGAGAACAATTTGCTCATCAATGTCTCCAAACTTGAGCTTCCCGTCAACCAACTTACACTCGCCAGTCCTGAGCCCTCGATCGCGGGATTAAGTCATCCAGTTTGGCCAGCGCGGTGAGAAGCGGTCCAGTACTTGATCCTCTTCGTCTTCCCCATCGTAACGAGGAACCACAAAGCCATTTGTTTTTCGCGCGCTTGGAGATTCGTCCAGGTCCAAAACCAGCGACGTGCCGGAAACCATCGAGTTTGAGCGCCAGATTCAGGCGAGTTGGAAGAGCAGGGAAGAAGCCTGAACCTTCCAGAAAAGTTTTTACGCACCACATTCAGTAAACCCGCAATAGCCTCCCTCCCGCTTAAGTAAAGTTATATTCTAAGGATATGCTCAGATATTTTATTTATTTTAATTTATAATTAGCACAGGTAATTCTAATGTCTATATCGTCAGAGGAGGGACGATGGCTCTATGCTTCTGGATGCCGCTAGCACGAGAATCCCCATATGGATCTGCCATCCAGCGATGAGGAGTATGATGCCTACACAGGCATGGCAGATTATCACGAGTTGGTAACAAAGAGAAGAAAGAGCTTTTGTCAACTACTTTGTTCTTTTGAAATTGCCTTTAGTAGCACAATGTTGTTTCTTTCGTTCAATGTTCTAGTGACTGAGACAACTTTCTATTTTGTCTTGCAGATTCAGATCCCAACATTGTTGGAGAGAACCATCCTGCAGCCCTGCATCCCTGGCCGCCATGGCCATCAGTGGCACAGGCTGGGAGCTGAGCGTGCCACAGTCAGGAAGCTCAGTTGCACAGCCATTAGGGCTGTAACCACAGCCATGACTATTGCTGAGAAAGTGTGGTTGAGCTCGGTCCACTTGACTGACCACATAAATATACAGCTATCATAATTTAATGAAAAACTACATATAAATTAGTGTGGACTTTCTTCTTTTGGAACAATGGCACGGTAATTATCAACTGCCAACATTAAGCATGGTGCAAATGTACTTCCCCATGCTATCAAAGTAAGTATATAAAACATACTTTTTTTACCTTTTAAGTTATATTTTATTGACTTTGCAAACATTTACTCGTTAGCAACAGAGCACAATCTTGATGAAGTCAATGTTTTGCTAAGCTCCTTGTTTGAATTGAGTTCCACCACGACAAAAATGAAGCCCAATTTGGCACTAAAGCTTGACTCTGTGTATAAGATTGTATTTACAGTCCACTTATACCCAACTGAAGAATATGGGACTACATGAATGCAATACATTATTCACCTCGCTCTGGTCCCATTGGTAGCCACCTCTGTATAGAAGGAAAGAAAAGGTATATAAACCTACCCATGCAAATAAATTATACCCTGTGCATTGTCTATATGATTTTTTCCAGTGATGAACTCCAAAAGAACGACTGGTATCATGCTTTAAAATGGGCATTGCAAGACTCTATAAACAGCACGACCAAAATCTGAGAGCTTGGGATAATGCTCTCTGAGTAAGATGTGAAATCCAGGAGGATTTTCTTTGTCATGCATATTTTGGTAGCTCCTGCAAAGTTATTTTCATCATTGCATTCCAGCCCAATGGTTCCTTGTCGGTCAACACATCTGCATGCAAGGCTTACTCAGTTTTGTATGTAGAAAACAATACAAACTGTGTAATTGATCTTCCAGGTTCATATACCTGTAGAAACCAAGCCTTTGATCGCCATCACAACAATAACCGATTATCCAAACTCCTGCCAAGAATCTTAGGTTGAATGTCTGTTTCTTTCCAGCTGCTTCACTGCCATGATCTGCAACCAAGGAGAAAAACATGTTAGATAAAACCAAACAAGAAAGAAAAAACTGGTTTTTGCAAGAGAGAAAGAACACCAAACCTGGCCACTATATAGATATGGCCAAAGCCTCTTTCACTGATTATACACTTTTATGTAAGCTGGAGCCACCATTTTGTCTTGATGAGAGGACCTCTTGTTGCTTTTCTTTGCTCGCCACCGAGCAAGGCTGGCCAACATGATGTAAAGGAACCACAGGACGGGCTCTTGAGCTGGACAGTCGAGAGGCGGGCAGTCAAGAAGAAAGTGCCACTTCAGCGAGCTTGTTTGTCTCGGTTTGAGCAGCTCCTGCCTCTCGATCTTGATGCTAGAGATGTCCTGCCTTGGCAATTGCAAGTCCCCTTGTATCTGCGAAACAAGACACAAGACGGTTAGCCATCTTGCAAATCCGTGGTTGCTGTCATCCCAAATCACTCAGGACAACTGACCTCCCGCGGCCTTTTGATTAAAACATGCCTAATATACCAGACAATTGGACACAAGATTACAAAAAACTTGGTGACATATAGTAGATGGCACATGTGCTTGTTCCAACCAGCGCTTAATAACAATGTTTCATTATTGGCACAATTATCATTTTAAATTGTGTGTCTACGTGCTTTGCCGGTTGGGAAGTAGCACTTGTTTTCTAATCTAAGTCGGCCTTTCAATTGACGCTGATATCAAAATCTAAATCTCATGCGACAAGGTGCGAATTTAGAAGACTCTCCAAGCCATTTCTTACCGAGTCTCTACTCGAATAAGAAACTGAAAACACTGGAGAGATCTCCAGCGTTTTTGTTTGCTTGGCACGAATAAAAGAACATACAGCGAATTCTTAGCAACTCGTTTCTTTGATGGTTGTAAAAATGTGGCTCGTGAATTGCAGTACTGCAACACTTGACATACAAGAAACCATAGGCTATAGCCATAGGCTCACCTGTCAGACTCAGAAACGATAGGATCACAACTGGAGTATCATATAATCTTACGGTACACCGTTTCGATGTCTGTATAGCATATAGATGAGCATATTCCATGGCAAGATCGAGAGTAGCAAAAATTGATTTGGTTCTTTCGATCGCTTCAAACCTTCGGGTCCTTCGCCTTGACATAAATGATCTGCACAGTCCGATACCAGAGCTTTAACACTGTAACTTCATCAAAGCGATGAAGGATATCCATTGCGCGTTCTAAAGAAGCACAAGAGGAGAAGAAAGAGGATGCGCTTGAAGCGATTGAACTTACCTCGGGCATTGGCTCGGAATCATCCGAGACGATGAATCCTTGCAGCAATGCTGCTGCTCCTCCGGCGATCAGAGGCGACCCAGGATGATTTCCAGTGATCCTAGCTCCGGGAAATCGGGAAGAAGAAGAGATCAGCGCGAGAGATGCGGCGGGCGCGAGATCGGGAGGCCCAACGTCGTCGTCGTCGTCTCCACACGCGCACGGACGCGGCGCCACGAAACTGTCCAAGGCTTTGAATCGATCGTCGCTGCTATCGATCATCGACATGGTGTTGCCTCCCCGCGATGTGATTAAGCAACGAATCGATAAAACAATTTTGCGGATTTCGCGGGCACCGGGATTTAAATACCTGTTTGTTTTTCCAGCGTGGCTGACGGCGACTGCCGAGTGGGCGGCAGTCAGCTTGCGGTCAGCGAGAACACCGGATAGAATATGCTATCTCCGCTTGTGCCACGCAAGAAGCACGTGCGCGCCCGTGTCGGCACGTGTCCTCGCGCTGGTAGCGAGCGTGCTGCGGCTTTCGCCGTGGCTCTCCTCTTTCCAAATGTGGTGGCGCTGCTACATTTGGCGGTGGTGCCAGAGGTGACGCCTGGTTTCGTGGACCACCACCATTTACTCTTTGTGTTGGTTGGAAGAGAGAATCTTCGATGGCGTCGCATTCCCCAGCTGAATTATGTTGGTACCCTCTTAAGCTTGTTAGAATTTGTCATAATATTATCCATTTCTTAAACATAATAATAAATAATATGAAACAAGCCAGATATCTTTTAATAATAATAGTACTATTATTATATTTATTACTCATATAAAACAAGGAACGTTTCTTATTCTAGCTAACGTAATAAACGCTAAAATGAGATCAAGCGATGGAAGCTCTGGAACGCTTTCCTCCTTTTGAGAGAGTCTTCACCTGGGAACAGTAATTCCTGCACAAATCAAAGCAAAACATCAATACTTTTGAGATTGAGACGACGATTCAAAGATGAACCATCCAAAACGTACCTTGGCAAGTGAAGCCCGAGGGGATGTAGGACGAGTAGCCGCAGGCCTTGGGAATGGCCAGAGCGTTGTTGAGATTGATGCTACTAAGCTGGGATTTGGCGTAGACGAGCGTACTGCAAAGGCAGCTGGGATTGCTGCGGTAGGCCATCATCGCGGAGCAGCAACTCGAGGTAACCGAGCCCGAGCCAGTGGCCGCCGGGAGGCAAGCCTGCAGATTCGTGAACTTGCTAGTGTCGCACGACTGACCCAGCGCCGCTCGAGGCGAGGACGCGAGGAGCGCCAGCGCCACCACCGCCACCACCGCCACCATCTTTGACAGCTCCATTCTCTTAGAGATCTAGAGTCTAGCGCGAGAGAGATCGGGAAGCGAGAATGTAAGAGATACTTTTCTGGAATGGAAAATGTGAAGGAATGATCTTTGGAGCGATCTTGGTGGCGAGAGAGTTTATATACCCTGGAAAGCCATTAAAGTTTTAGTCCCAGACAGCTAGACCAAGCTTACCAAACGCTCTCCAACCTTCATCAATGCCGCGACGCCGACGCGAGAAAAAAAGGAAAGCTGTAGAAAACTAAGTTCCAACCTGTGTTGGAACGATAAATATGTTGGGCGATTGGATCTAGAAACGGACGGTCGCCAAGAATCAAATTTGAATCTTCCATTCCACAGTCGGATCAAGGTTGAGCTAAGGAAGACGTGGTCAACACGGCCGAGAAACAGCCCAACTGAGCGCGACCTTGACTTGCTACTCACTGTTGTGGTGCGGAGCTCCTCCTTTTGCTTTGGCAGCTCCTTGAATTGAATTCGATGCGGCCAAAAACTCTTTGGTTGCATTGTCATTTTCTCACGAGTACAAGTATAGGTGGAAGAAGGGAGAGAGATCCAGGGTCGCCTCCAAGAGTCCGGAAGACAAAGATTATTGCGCGTCGTCAAATATCTCCCAGAGAGAGTCTGCATCGGGGCTACGTGTCGATCGAGTTAATTGGCCCGAGAACACCAAAGTCATTCTTGTCGATTCTTACAAAACGCTACAAAGTCCTGCAAGCTCTAATTACATTGAATCTCTTCATCAATTCAATAGTGTAAGACGACAGCAGGGGCATTTGCAGAGGCACAAGCTTTCGAATCCGGAGGAGCTGGGGATTTGAAATATTTTCCCGGGAGCAACTTGGGTCCCAAAAAACGGCCCGTGGCAAACAATTCTTGAGGCTTGGAAAAAAAAAACTACCAAGAAAAAAAATAAAAACAATGGTCGTGTCACACAACTACGTTGGCAACTGTTGCAACTGGAGAAACGATCAATGCCGCCTACAGGAGCAGCAGCAAAGGATGATATGATAGAATTCTTAAAAAAGATGCCATTGGGAACTGGTGAGTGCTGCTTGTTGCTGGTTTCACCACTTTTTCATTGTTGTTACTTTCGCCACCTTTTGCTTCTTCATCTAGGCAACAAGGGAAAAAAAAGGAGAAATTTTTTGCACTTTTCTATCTTATAAGATCTTAAACTCTGACATCCATTTTGTGTTATATCACTTTTTTTCTAAAAATCTGTAAAAATAGGATTAGGCACTGATAATCTAAGCCGGATCGCTGCCGGAAGCTTACGGTTCAGTTCGACATGGCCAGAGAAGATCGATACACAATCAAAGATTCTCCAAAACACACAGAGATATTCCCTTGCACAGCGGGGACGTGTCAATCGTCCGTGCGACAGTGTTTGGTAAGTAGCCAAAGCGTGTGTGGTCCCCAAAAATACAAAAACAAAACAAATAAAACAATTTCGTATTTCTACCCGGTGGGTAGAATAGTAACTCGTAAAAATAAACCAAAATCCCCGTCCGAGATAATAGTAACTTCTGCTGCCTGCGCCAATAATATTAATAAACAAACATCCAAGACAGTGACCTGTGGGCCGGTTAGGGCAAAAAAAAAAAAAGCTACCCCTCCAATAATTCAAGCCTGGGCCTTTGCGGACGCCAGACCTCCTCTCCAATCCGCTGGACGGTGTCTCCTCCATTCATTTGGTATGTTTGCTTTACCTATCTATTTTATTGGTTTCCTTCTTTCCTCTTGTCTAGGCTTTTGCTTTTGGGAGTGGGATTGATCCATCCTTCCCTCGCCTCTCGCGGGAGGGGAGCGAGCGAGCGCGCGCGCGAGAGAGAGAGAGAGAGAGGTAGTGCGCTCTCTTCCTTCTTCTTTGATCTTCCCCTTTCTTCTTCCCTTTCTCGCCTCGCCCCTCGAAACCCCCAAATAGCCACCATGATCCCTCGTTCTGTGTAGAGAGAGCTCAAATCTTCTTCCTCCTCCTCCTCGGTTCTCCGATCGATCACGGCGGTCATGACTGCTGGTAAGCGCCCAAGGCTGATGATGAGGAGGACCGTGAGCGTTGCCTCGCTCGGAGCAGGAGCAGCAGCAGCAGCAGCAGCAGCAGGAGGATGCGGTGGAGAAGTGGCAGCGGCCGTGGCTGCCGGATCTGATCACCCTCTATCGGCCGATCACCAGTTCCAGCGCCCCCAGCATCCGCATGTTGTTGTTCCACACCAGGTGATCGGCTTCGCAGCGCCCACCGAGGATCCATCTCCGTCGGCGGCCACCACCCTGCCTCCCTCGCCCGCCGGTACGAAATCCAGGCCTTTCTCGGGTCTCAGCATCCTTGCGGATCCCAGCAACAAGGAGCTCGGGCCCTGTTCTCCTCACGGGAAGGTCGGCCTGGGGATCGTAGCGGCATTGGACAAGGACGAGTTAAGTGGTTCTTCTTCGCCAACTTCGGTGATCCGATCCTCCTTGGCCCAGGCCGGCGTCGTCGCTCCTGCGAAGAACTTCCACTACCATCAGTCCGCTCGCTACAACATGCACGACACTCACCAGCGCAAGCACAAGGATGCCGCCGACTCCGCCACCTTCCACCTTTGCCTCGAGGCCAATTCCACCAAGTGCGCGCTCCGGCCGTCGTTCACCACGCTCGGCTTCCTGGACTCGTGCTACCAGTGCAAGCGGGACATCTCTCACGGCCGAGACATCTTCATGTACAAGTACGTGCACCGCTGCTGGCTCGCTGTGCTCGCTTGCTCGTTGCTTTGTTTCGTTGCCTTTCGATTTTTAGCCAGATCTCGCGCTCACACGAGTTTGCTGTGTGTGTGTGCCTGCAGAGGTGACAGAGCATTCTGCAGTGCTGAATGTCGACACCAACAAATTTTGAACGATGAGCGTTTGGAGCGAAGAGAGAAGTGTACCTCAGCGGCGCTCAAGCAGATGGGGAGTGTTCCTCAGCAGGTTCGTCACAACCAGCGGGCCAAAGTTACACCGGCAACCACTGCTGCTGCTGCTTAGGATGGGGTCACAGCTTCTCTCCCGATCAACGTCGCTCTAATTTTGTGTATTATATTGTCAAGAAGAAAAATTTTTGCAAAGCGGGGTATCATGGAGGCAAGGATCAAAGCTGTAGCCTCCATAAGAGTCAAGTCTTTAAGCACGTAATAACGAAAAAGAAAAAAAAAAACAAGGTGCTGTTATATATGCTACTTCTACGTACCTGAAGGCTCGGAATGAGAAAAAAGCTGTGCAAGCCTGCACGAGATGCGAGTGCAATGATGCTCTACACTGATTCCTGGAGAGTGGTGGTGAGTACTTGTTACACCACCTCAAGCATCTAACAGTGCGGAGGTGGAAAGCGTAAGCAGATGGTAATCCAATGTCCGCAAATTCACCTGGCACTCATCGATGTTAGAACCAAACAAACAAACGGTCTGAACAAGTTACCAGCACGGCGGTTCCCGAATCACAAAAGCGCGGAATCGAAATGGCCCTCACCGATTTCCCTTCAACTTTTTGGAAGAAGAAACAGTCAGTCGGTGGCAAGAAACTGGGCCAAGCAGATATACATACCAGTAAGTAAGCGAGACATACAGCTCCTCTGATTTCCACAGAAGTAAACATGTGGACATTTGTCCAGAACGAACGGATCCTTATCGGTGTATGGGTAACAGCCTGCTCGCAGCACAGAGTGAACGATGTAATTTGCGTGACAGCATACCCAGTGTATCAGGAGCTGTAGGCGCAATATGTCTCCAGCGCAGTGATCTTTCCATAAGCTCGAGGACATCTTTGGCTTGCGAGTACTTGTCAAGATCATCGACATTTTGTCCAGATGTGCCGAGAAACCTGAATGCTAAAACACGGAACTTGTTGATCCCCGAACAGTAATATCAAACAGAGAACACTTACTCTATACCGTCCAGTTCAAATCGATGAGGATTTGTCGCAGGTAAAAAGGTACAGTAAGCAGAAGCTCCAGGAAAAAGACACTTATGCAAGGACTGGAACAGTGTTTCAATTGTGGTGGTCATATCAACAAGCATTTCATACCTGCTGGGGCAAAGTAAAGTTTGCAGGGTCATTTGCTCCGGGCATAATATCAACTGGCATTGCTGCTGCTATCTGTTACAAGCCCAATGTCAGTAGCAAATGCGAGTGCACGGACTTACTTGAGTTAGCACAAGGTCGAGCTCCTTCACTGGTTCAGTCAACCTCGCTTGGTCCTTGGCGGAAATAGCCTGCAAATGCTAATCAAAGTGAACAAGAGCATATAAAATGTTTTTTTGGAAGACAAACCTGCCCAGCGAGTAAGTTATATTGCATATCAAGAGAATTTCCCGCAACTATCAGACGAACGACCTGAGCGCTCAACATTTGCTCCTAAACAATAAAGATCACATAAATTTTGATATATTCCTGTTGTCCGTTTACCTGTTCGTCACCCAAATGACCAGTAAGGTGATCAACCAAGAGCTGTAGTTGCAAAGGGTCACAATGATCACTACCAATCCTCAAGCCAGAGATGAAAGCGACATACTTGTCCTCTGAGAAAAGACGCGATCAGACGCAAAACTTCAAGTATAGGCAGGCTCGCTTGCCTGTGATGGAAGGCAAAGGTGGCTGAGGTGGTAAACCGGGCTCGATAATTTCTTGTACAAAGAAGTCGCCGTCCTTTCCTGCCGCTCCACAAGCAGCAATGACAATGCCTGCGAGCAAAAAATGTGATTTTTTCCGAACACTTGGTCCTAAAGATACATACCGGTAACATAATTCGAGGGCACAACCACGCTGCCCACGAGCTTCACGCGACCACTCTCATCTTCTAGCACCAAATAATCATCTGGATGCATGAAATTAGAAGCTGTTGCGAGTGGAAGCTTTGAGCGCTGCAGGAGAAAAGTGTCACACAACGAAGAAAAGAAAAGTGTATGGTTACCTCTTTTGCGTATTCATCCAGAATAGATGGCTTGAGCTTCATCTGCTTGTAGATCGTTCCAATCACAACGCAACGCTTTCCATCTTCCAGTCCCAAGATCGGACAAACTACGAAGCAAAAAAAACAGCGATGCCAACCCGAGAAGAAAAAAGAATCTCTCACCTGGAACACCAGGAAAGCCGGATTGAACGAGCGAGCTGAGAACTCCACGAAGCTTGTGCAGCCGGCAGTAATAGAGGTGGCTGTACTGCTGGCCCTTGTACCGCTGGACGCGCCGCTCGAAATCTTCATCCTGGGCGGCGCAGCAGCTAGGAATGCCGAAAGCGATCTTGCGAAACCGATTTCACGCACCTTCCGAGTGTATCGCGCCTCCTTCCTCTCCAGCGGCGGGGCGTCGTCCACCTCCATCGCCACTGCCGCCATAGCCACCAAGAACCCTAAAAACCAAACTAGCCGTTTGGAAAACCCCCGTCGATAATACAGGCCGAGCAAAGCACTGCGAGATCCATGGAATTGTTTAGTCCCCCCGAGAAGGACAAGGCCCCAACAGCACTGTGAATCGCGTGAATCTTCTCCTGGCCCCGCCGAATTGATGAGAATTCATGGAGATCGAGGGCCCCCACAGCCCAAGAATCGCGAGCTCTCATTGTCAAAGCACCATACGGACTTGGATTGGGGGACCCCATCGCTTCGCTCGCGACATAAAATCGCGTCTCATCGCCCTCGCCCACTTGCTTTTGTTCGTTTCTTCCTCTCTCTACTTTTTTGGCTTTCGCCATAGCCAAGAGAGCATAAACAAATGCCAGTGGCCCACGTCACCGCGTACGAATCACCTGGCCGGTGTGTGTACGGCGGGGGGTGGCCATGGCTGGCCATGGCTCCACGTGACGGGCGCGGCCCCACTGCGCTAGCAGACGGAGCATCGAATCTCCCGCGCGGGGTCCATGAAGTGACGCCACCTGGCCCCGCAGCCGTCATAATATCCACCATGCCGTCACCGTGGTGCCATAGCCTCCACTTTGCAAATAAAATGGGGAAGGGAAGAACTTTCACACACCTCTCTCTCCCCCTCTCCTCCTCTCTGTCGGCAGGAAAAATTTTAGGGGTCGATCGAAAGCTTGGGGGATGCGACTGGGATCGCGGGTTTTGAGCGAATTGAATTCCCTGTGTCACGCAGACGCGATCCTCACACAAACGATTTGGGTGGATCGATTCTCACACCCCCAAGGAGCGCACAGATGATGATCTCCAGGCAGCGGGAGCGCATTTCGAGCAATCTGACGTGCTTGATCCGGGAGCAGCGCGGCAAGAAGATCGGATCGTGCGTGGGATCACGGCGGGAGAAGCTCTTGGGGCTCAACACCAGTCCCGCGGGCTCGGCGGATTCGACCAGTGAATTGATCGAGGAGGAAGTGTGGGCGGTGATGTACCCGGAGGAGATCCAGTGGGACGATCAATTGCGGCGGCACGAGAGCAATCGATTGTTCCGGGCGTGGATGTCGGCCAACTGGGAGGGAAATGGGAATCTTGCGAGCCCATCTCCCAATTCTTCGCGGCGATCGACAATCCAGCGCGCCGACCCCATCAATGTGCCCGATTGGACCAAGATCCTCCAGCAGAAGCGCAAGAGCGCGGGATCGCCCGAGCTGGAGCTGGAGCTCGCCGACGAGGAGGAGAAGGAGAATCACGAGTGGATTCCGCCGCACAAGCTAGCTGCGAGGCAAGACGCGGCGCGAATTCGCACGAGCTCCATGGTCGCCTTCTCGGTTCTCGAGGGCGCGGGCAGGACGCTCAAGGGCAGAGATTTGAGGCGAGTGAGAAACGCGGTGTGGGCGCAAACCGGCTTGATTGATTGATTGGCGTACGGATTAGGTTGTTGGGGTTGTACGGATTGTTTTCTACCCACTTTAGCTAAGAACCCTAAAAGGAGATCAGTGTATTCTTCTCTGTCACTGTGTGATCTTCGAATGGTGTGCTCCAATGGATGCTCGCGGCGGCTTTGTGGCGGTCAGGGATCCTCGCGGGAAGAATTACGAAGCCCTAGTGGCTCTTCTCCGAGAATGCAGGGTCTTGAGCGATGGCCGGCGCATCCATGCCAAGATCCGCGACCACGGGCTCGATAGGGATGTGTTCTTGGGAAATTTGTTGATCCAGATGTATGGGAAATGCGGCAGCGCGGAGGAGGCATCCAGGGTTTTCCAAGAAATGGCGCGCAAGAACGACTTCTCGTGGACGCTCATGATCGGCGCCTACACGCGCAACGATCGCCACGGCGATGCGGTGGATTTCTTCTTCCGCGCGATGGCCGGCGAGAGAGTGGAGCCAGATGCCTTCGCGTACTCGGCGGTTCTTGGCGCTTGTGCTAAGATGGGAGCTCTCGATCGAGGTAAGGAGATTCACGCTAGGATTATAGCTTGTGGAGCTGACACCGACCTCGTCGTCCAGAATGCGCTCGTGAGCATGTACGCTAAGTGCCGGAGCTTGGACGATGCATGGGGAGTTTTCCAGAAGATCAGGATCAAAGACGTCGTGTCTTGGAACGCGATCATCTCTGGGTATGTCTTTCACGGCCACGCTCGCGAAGCTCTGGGTGTTTATCATCGAATGCTGCTGGAAGGTAGCGAGCCGGATGCTATCACTTTCTCCACAGTTCTCAGCGCTTGTTCGAGCATGGGACTCTTGAGCCAAGGTAAGGAGCTTCACGCAAGGATTGTTTCCATGGGACTCGACTCAAACTTGACTTTGCAGAATTCTCTCGTGAACATGTATGGCAAGTGCAAGGATCTGGAGAGTGCGAGGAAATTTTTCGACGGGATGACGCTGAGAGATTCCAGCTCCTGGAGCGCGCTCTTGGGAGCGTACACGCAACAGGGTCATGGAAAGCTAGCGCTCACGCTCTTTCAGCGGATGGACTTGGAAGGTATAGACCCGGATGTTTTCACTTTCATTGCGGTGTTTAGTGCTTGCGCTAAGGTTGGAGTGTTGGATCAGGGCCGGAGTATTCACGAGCGGTTTCTAGCAGCGGGCTTTAAGCCTGACGTCGTGACGGGCACTGCGTTGCTGAATATGTTCGCAAAGTGTCGCAGCATTTCGGACGCAAAGAACGTTTTCGACCGCATGGAAACGAAGAATCGTGTCACTTGGAACGCTATGCTGGCGGCCTACGTTCAAACCGGGGGTAACCAAGCTGCTCTCGAGCTCTTCAAAGTCATGGATAGAGAACCGGACGTGTTTACCTTCTCGACACTTTTCTCTGCTTGCTCAAACTTGCGCTCGCTGGATGCCGGCAGAGCTATCCACAAACGACTTGGTAAGTCGCTGGTTTCGGATTTGATTCTACAGAACGCCCTGCTAAACATGTATTCCAAATGTGGCAGCTTGGCCGACGTACGAAAAGTTTTCGAGAGCATGGACAGACGAGACATTGTTTCGTGGAACGCAGTTATCGGTGCACACGTTCTTCACGAACAGTTCAGGGAGGCTCTCAGCTTGTTCAAGAGCATGAAGATGAAGCCGGACGCCATCACATTTGCTATCGCTCTCACGGCCTGTGCGAGTTTAGAAGCACTTGAAGAAGGCAGGGAAATTCACAGGAAGACGGTGGAAGCTGGACTGGAATCGGTTACCATGGTGCGCAATGCACTCGTAACCATGTACGCAAGATGTGGAAGCCTCGAGGATGCACAGGGAGCTTTTACGGGCACGGTATACAGGGACGTGGTCTCCTGGAGCGCCTTGATAGCAGCACACGCTCAGCATGGACAAGACTTGGAGGCCATCAAAGTCTATCGCCGGATGAACTTGGAGGGGATTGAGGCAGACGTCTTCACGTTTGCCAGCATTTTGAGCGCGGTTTCCTCTCCGGGTCTTCTACCGGAAGGAAGAACTGTCCACAGGCAGATTATCTCTCGGGGACTCGAAAGCGATACAGTCGTGGGGACTGCGCTCGTCAACATGTACGCCAGGTGTGGAGACGTGGTTACTGCCAGGACGAACTTTGACAACCTCTGCTCGAAGAACATCGTGTCCTGGAACGCGATGATAGCGGGCTACGTCCAAGCCGGATCCAGCCAGGAAGCCTTGCTGCTCTACGAGAAGATGCAGCAGGACGAGGCCAAACCGAAAGCAGACGGACTCACCTTCGCCAGTGTCCTGGCTGCGTGTTCCAACCTCGGAGAGATTTCAAGGGGACGAAAACTCCACGACGACGTCGCTGCCAGTGACTTTGCCGAGGATCTGATCGTCCAGAACGCTCTCGTCGACATGTATGGGAAGTGCGGCAACTTGGTGGAATCCAGGAACGTCTTCGAAGGGATCAAGAGCAGGAGTGTGATCTCCTGGACGTCGATGGTCACGGCGTACGCTCGGCACGGCCATGGAGCCGAGGCAGTGGAGCTGGTCTGGCGGATGAGCTTGGAAGGCGTGGAAGCCGACGACGTTACTCTCACCAGCATCCTTCAGGCTTGCAGCCACTCGGGCCTGGTGGACGCCGCTGGCAGCGTGTTTGGCACAGTGGTGAGAGACCAGGGGATGGAGCTGAGCATCGAGCACAAGCTGTGCTTGATGGATCTGCTGGGACGCACCGGGTGGATCGAGGAGGCCGAGGAGTTCCTGGCGAGCAGCGAGGATCTCAAAGCTCGCGCCGCGTCATGGACGAGCTTCCTCAGCGCTTGCGAGCGCCAGAGCGAGCAGGGGAGAGCGGGCAGAGCGGCGAGAGAATTTGGGCGTTTGCATCCCAGGGAGAGCGCCAAGTTCGTCATCCTCTCAAACATGTTACACGCGATTTAAAATGGAAGCTATTCTCGTCTAAATCTAGCAGATTCCCGTTACAGAATATTCCTGTTCTGCGAATATGCTCTGACAAATGTAGAGAATATTCTCTGGAAAGTTTTTCTGTACGTGGCAACGCCAGGCACGATCTTCTCACTCGTTTTCCCATGGGGGAGGATCGTGAACAGGGGAAAGCGGCTGGGGTCGCGGATAAAGGAGACGGGACACCGACATTTGGGATGCAAGAATTCTCAGGGGAGGAAACCCTAGGATCGGCAGCAATGGGCGATCGAGGAGCTGAATCCGAGGCGCGCGGCGGCGATAGCAGCAGCGGTAGCAGCGGCGACGGCGCGAGGATGGATCAGGTTTTCCATTGGCTGCTCCATTGGCCTTTCATTCTCCACGCCGCATTGGTCCTCGTTGTGGTGTGGATTCTTTCGCTCCTGGGGATAAATCACGCGATCGTCCCTGTCGTTGGCTTCATCTTTCTCTTTCACGTAAGTGGCTGGCTGGTCGCTCTTGGAAATTTTTTTTTTCTAAGATAGAATTTTGGATTTCTAGATTGAGAGACGCCATCGCGAGAAGTGGCTCCGGCGGATTCGCCACGAGGAGCGAAAGCACGCGTTTCAAAAACAGGTATGTGCTGATTGATTGGTCGATCCAGTGTTGTCGGATTGGAGCTCAGCAGCGTGCTGCAGTTGTTATCAGACTTTGAGAGTGTCCGGTGGCTCAACGAGACTCTCGCAAGAGCATGGCCAGTTTTCCTGGAGAAGTTTGCGTCTCAGGATTTTCTAGCTCCACTCATGCCGTTTTTCCTGGCCAAGTACAAGCCCTGGACAGTGGTATGTATGTTCTTCGTTTGGTGTTGAATTTTTTCGGAGGAGGTCACGTTTTTCTCCACTCTACTGGCAGCAAGATGGTGTACTGCAAAGCTTTGCTCTGGGAAGAAATCCACCCATGTTTGCGGGCATGCGAGCTCTGGATCCTTCTGGGACGGATGACGACGTGGTAATGTTTCTTGCGAGTTTTTAAACTTCGTTCTCCTAAACTTTCATGTATTTCTTTCAGGTCTTTGAAACTACTATGGAATTTGTGGCAGCTGATGATATGAGCGCGGTGCTCTCTGTTCAGCTGAGAAAGCGCCTTGGAGGGCTCTGGACAAAGTTACATATCTCGAAGCTACATATTGAAGGAAAGGTATTTGTCTGGTGCTTTTGGCTGAATGTTTGTAGAAAACTTTTGTTTTGTTTTGAGAAGGTTCGTCTTGGAGTGAGGTTTCATGGGGGATGGCCATTTGTTAGTCGTCTCCGGATCAGCTTCGAGAGTGCGCCTTACGTCCAGATCGAAGCACGGCCGCTCTCGACGTATGGGATGGACATGGCTGAGCTTCCTGGAATCGCAAGCTGGCTGGTAGATAATCTGTCACTCTTTTGTTTTGTTTGTGATAAGCTTTTTGCTTTTCTCTTTGTTCTGAATAGGACACGATGCTGATGGATGCGCTAGAGGACTCGGTCGTGAAGGTTAGAAGGTTATGCACGATTTTGATTTTGATGATCATTGATTTTTATAGCCAAACATGCTGGTGATAAATGTCGAAAAGATTGCAAATAGTTGGGCGACATCCGAGTACGCAACTCTTCCAAGTGGTAATTACCTCATTCAAGCCGTGTGATAGGCTTATGATCGGCTTGTTTGCAGCGGAGTCCGCGCCTCCGGTTGCTGTTGCTGTAGTTGAAATCCTTGAAGCAACACAATTAAAACCGGCTGATGTCAATGGTAAGCTAATATTCATGGATTTTATTTCTGAACCTTTTCTTTGCTTTTTGCTTTTCGTTCAGGATTGGCGGATCCTTTCGTGAAAGGAGTACTGAACACTAATCGTTTTAAAACGTCAATAAAGTGGAAGACTCTCAATCCCAAGTGGAGAGAAGTATTTCGTTTGCCCATAAGAAGCTGGGAGATCCAAAACCGTATGATGTTTCACGTGAGGGACAAAGATCTCTTTCGGGACGACAATCTCGGGTTTGTGCACTTCTAGTTTGGGATTATGAGACGCTTGTGATTGATGGCGCTACTTTATGAACAGGTATTGCGACGTGTTACTGGCGAAGTTTAGAGGCGGCGATCGGCATGAAGTTTGCTTGCCCCTTAAAGGCGTAAAAACTGGCCGCATCACTTTCGCAATTACGGTTGAGGAAGCACCCGATTGTCAACTCGAAGTGGTAAATTTTGTGGTGATGACGATGATAGTGGTGGTTTTATTCATGATGTTGATACCTTGCTGCAGGAGGTATCGCCTAGTACAAGGCTGACTACAGATGGAGATGAATCTTTACCTGATTCACTTGGCTTGGATCATTACGAAATCATTGACACTGGCGTGAGTGCCTCGGGAATATTTTCTATAATGAGGCCCGGAAAGGCAGTGCAAAAGAAGTGGCGTGGTAGAAAAGGAAGGAAGCTCGATGAAGATGTTGAGTTGCCAGACAATACTCTCTTCAGTGGCAGCCTCGAGCGAGAGTCCGAATCTAGTGACAGCGAGGGTGACAAATCCGGCCAACCCGGGGGGAAGGCGAGGTTCTGGAAGTGGAGCCACCGTGGACCCCGAGATAAAAAGCTCGTATCCGGAGAGCTGGTTAGCATCAGCGAGAAAGGAGGACAGATGAAGCTGCGAACAGTTATCGACACGGACTCTGCTGTGACTTCTCCAGCTCCAGCTCCGGAAGATTCGACGCCAGCATTGTCTTTACCAGATAAGGCCGCTGCTAAACCAAGCGACGTGAGAACCGACTTGACTCCCATCTCTTCTGGCGTCCAAACTGGCACCAACAGTCAGGTTCCAACACCAAAGCTGGCAGAGGATTCAATGCGAGCCAGTGACGGGCTGGACGACGCTGAATCGCAGGAGGTCTCCCCCGGCCGGCGATCAATGAGAATAAGGGACAGGGCCAGGGGTGTGGTGAAGCAGGCCGAGAGGACAGCGTCCCATATCGGGCACTCGTTGTTTGGTCGCAGAAGCGGGAAAGATCTCGTCGCAACTCCCCGGTCAGACAACGCAGAGCCGGAGCAGCAGCAGGGGGTTTGCTCGCCAGAAAGATCCAGCGCAACTACTCCTACCTCTGATCAACACAGCAACTGAGGATGGATGGATAGCTACGTACGAGAGCGTTATCAGCTAGTTATGATCCGGACGAGTGCTCCTATACTGGATCGAGACGGCAGGACCAGCAAGACCAGCAAGACCAGCAAAGGTTGGATTTTTATTCACTTCGGGTGGCCGAACCGAGCAGGAACAACCAGCGGCTGCGGAGACGAAGTCGAGGACGAGGAGACCAGCCTCAAGGAGCTGATGAGGGGCCGGAGCTGCGCGACCTCGTCGTCCGACTTGAGCAGGAAAGGGTGGTGGAGCAGCCTGGCGGCGGACGGGCGCTGCGAGGAATTCTTCTGGAGGCAGCTCCGGATGAAGCTCTTGAACTCCGGCGACGCGTCCGGGGGTGGCGAGGGAGGATCCCCGAGGCAAATCGCCCAGACGAGCGTCGGCCAGTCGGGCTTCTGGCCGGGGGCGACGCAGGGGAAGTAGCCAATGGCGCACTCGAGCAGCGTGAGGCCGAGGCTCCAGATATCCGCGGAGGAGTCGTAGTGGCCGCCGTGACCATCCGGGTCGAATCTCTCGGGGCTCATGTAGGCGCAGGTTCCAACGAAGGAGTTGCACTGGGCGAGAGTGTGCGCGAGCTGGGTGCTCACTCCAAAGTCCGCGATCTTCACCTCGTTCTTCCGGTTGAGCAGCAGATTGGAGGGCTTGATGTCGCGGTGGACGATCTTGTTGGCGTGGAGGTACATGAGACCCTTGAGCGCCTGGCGCGTCACTCTCGCCAGGAACCTCTCGTCGATGGTCTTGCGGGCGGCCAGGACGTTGGCGAGCGTACCTCCGTCCATGAACTCGAGCACCAGCGAGATCTCGCCGCCGCGCTCGAAGACGCCGTAGCACTGGACCACGTAGGGGGATCTGGCGGAGAAGCGGCGCGTGATCTCGATCTCGCGGACGATGAGCTTGCGCACCGCCGGGTCGTGCTTCTCCTGGATGATCTTGAGCGCGTAGAGGGTGCCGGTGATGCGGTGGCGCGCCTTGTAGACCTTGCCGCCGCTGCCATGGCCGAGGATCTCCAGGCGCTCCAGATCCTCGAGGAGGACGTCCCTGCTGGTGGCGCTGCCGAGAGGATTGGATTGCTGCGGCAGTGGGAGTGGGAGTGGAGGCTTGGCGAAGCCGGCGTCGCGCGCTGGGATGGGGAGCTTGAGACTTGGGCGGAGGCTCTTCTTCACCGGCATGGTAGGCGCGACTCGCGAGAGAGGAAGTGAGGGGAAATCTATGAGATCATTGCTCCTCCTCGCGGAATTGGAAGAGTAATTGGGGAGGAAGATTGGAGCTGCGAGCGAGAGAGAGAGAAGAGAGAGAGAGAGAGAGAGAGAGAGAAGAAGTCTTTCTTCCTGGAAGGAATGGAGATCCCTCTTCGTTGTTCTTGCCTCGTCCACGTCAGCCGAACCCCACCTAAATGCGATAAAAACTCCGCGGTTTAGGGTTAGGGCTGGCCATTTTAAATTGGGGAATATTCTCTAAACGTGGCGGCATTTTAGGGTTTATGGCGGGGGAGGAGGACGATTCTCCTCCGGCGCTCAGCGTCCACGCGCTGGAGGCTTTGCGGGATTTCATGCGGGAGAGGGATTGCGGCGGTGCTGGCGACGGCGGCGAGGGTAGCGTTGGCGAGGATTGGGGCTTGAGCCAGTTCTGGTACGATGATTTTACCGCTCGGATCGTGGCCGAGGAGGTCGTTAGGGTGATTGGCGATGCGCCAGAGCGCTCGGTAGCGTGCATCGCATGCCCGTCGCTCTATACGATGCTCAAGGTACGAAGTTCGAGGAGATTGAAACGCTCTGTTTGTTTTTATCCTTCTTGTTCTTTTGTTCTCTTTTGTGTTTTTCTACGCTCAGCTGTGCTGGATCGATGTGCGCAGAAGATCTATCCAGGCATTAGAGCGCATCTCTTCGAATACGATCGTCGTTTCGCTCGTCATGGCAGTGACTTCACTTACTATGACTACAACCATCCAGAGGATTTGCCTGGACATTTCGAGCACCGTTTCTACGTCGTCGCTGCTGATCCTCCCTACCTTGTAAGAAAAAGCGAGAGAGAGAGAAAAAGAGAAAGAGAAATGGATGGAGCTAGAGTGACCATCACCTCAACGTTGTTGCTCTTTAACCTTTTTCTTTTGCAGAGCGAGGAGTGCCTTGAGAAGACCACCCGGGCAGTGCAGTTCCTGTCCGAGGACCATCAGAAAAGTCCAGTCCTCTTGTTGACAGGTTTGATGCAAGCTTCGTCACCCCCATGAGATGGGACTTTTGCTTTTCGTGTTCTCGCGTCCTGGGCTCATTCGGTGTATTTGGGTGCTCAGGATCTGTGCAGCAAGAACGGGCTTTCTCCCTCCTGGGAGTACAGCCGTGCGGCTTCAGGCCGGCTCACAAGCACAAGCTCGGGAACGAGTTTAAGCTCTACACGAACTACGACCCCGGGGAAAATGTAGGAGGCTGGGAGCTTAAAGAGTGACAGTATGGTATGTTGGCTCAACCGTGCTTGTGATCTCTTCCACTTTAACTTCGTCCGGCTCTGTCGTTCTTCAGGCACTTTGTTTTCGTGGCCCCTGTCCAATCACTGGTGACGTTCTCGGGCCTGGGACAGCAAAGGATAAGGTGCTCCGTGTGAGTCTTTTGAGCTGGTTTCGTTCTCTACAATGATCGGCTGCACTGCTTTGCAGCGTCATCCCCTCGTTCTACGTCAGCAAGGTCCAAGCCCCGAATCGTTTGACAAAGTGCTGGGGTAGTCCTCTCTACTAGTGCTCTGGCAGCTGAGCAACGCCACGAAAGAAGTTCCAGGTGCCTGAAGAGACGTGACTTTCTCGTCGCTTCCAAGAGTCAAGATTTTACTCTGTGGACGGAGGAGTCTGCTCCAAGCTCGTGAAGGAGGTCAGGACATCTTATCCTTGGTTGAAAGCCCGAGCATCTGAACATCTTCTCGTACCAATGCCAGGACTTTTAAGAGCGTCTGTCATGCCATGATCTCCAGATGCCGCTGCTGCCGCTCCTTGATCGCTAGCATGTTAGAGAGCAGGACGTACGTCCCGGCCTTCTTCTGGTTGAGCTCAAGCACCTCACTGGCGGCTTTCTCTCCGCGGGACAAATCCCCGTGAGTCGAGCAGCCACCCAGGAGCGTCTTCCAGGTGATATGATCCGGAAGAACTGGCATGCTCTGGATGAGATCCTCGGCCTCTCGCAGCTGCCCGGACCGAGCTAAAACATCCACCATGCACTTGTAGTGCTCCAGCGCCGGCTCCATCCCTCGATCATAACTCATGGACCAGAAGTTCTCGAGGCTCTCTCGGACCTTCCCACCTCGGCTACACGCGGCCAGGATGGCGGACAGAGCAAACTCGTCGGGGTCCTGGCCGTCGAGCTCCATAGCCCGGAAGAGATTCACGGCCTTGTCGATATGCCCGACTTGGGCATACCCGGCTATCAGCGCTGTCCAGCCGATCACGTTGGGCGATTGGGGGCTCTCATCAAACACCGCCTGGGCTTCTTGGAGCTGCCCGTTCTCGGCGTACGCCACCACCATCGTCGTGGAGCATTTGTCATCGCGGTCCCGAACCGGGATGGTGGGAAGACTTCCGTGGCTTGCAGCATTTGGCCTTGCTTGGCATAGGCCTGTACCATGGCCGTCTTGGCAACCACGTCCTTCTCGGGCATAGCGTCGAAGACCACCTTGGCCTGGTCGAGTTCCTTTGCGTGTGCATGGGCCAGGACGAGGAGGCTATACGAGACGACGTTGTGCTCTGGGAGTGTGTCGAAAAGGTGGCGGGCCTCGGCTCGGTTCCCCGACTCCACAAGGGCTTGGATGAGGCAGTTCCAGGAGACGAGATCTGTGCGTGGAAGCCGCTGGAACATCTCGCGAGCTTCTTCAAGGTGCCGCCTCTCGGCAAATGCGAGGAGTAGGACGTTCCAGCACATGAGATCTCGCTCCGGCATTTGATCGAAGAACGATTTCGCGTGTTCGATGTTTCTCGCTAGTGCAAATGCCTTCACCATCACAGTCCAGGAGAAGAAGTTCCGCTGCGGCATTTGATTGAAGAACTCGCAGGCGGCGTCAAGATGCCCGCACCGGGTATGTGCTTGAAGCAGCGCAGTCCAGCACACGACGTCTCTCAGCCGCATCAACTCGAAAACTCTCCTGGAGTTTTGGAAGTCTCCCATCTGAGTGGAAGCCACTAACATTGCCGTCGAAGCTATGACGCTGTGATACGCCATCCTCTCAAACGAGGCTTTCGCCAACTTAGAATGCCCGCTCTTGGTAAATGCTTGAACCAGCGAGATCCAGCAAGAAGAACTCCTTTCCGGCATCGAATCGAACATCTTCTTCGCCTCTCGCGCATACCCATTGAGCGCATACGATTGAAACAGACACTTCCTGGCGCTGGGCTCCGGCTCTGGAATCCGATCAAACACCGCGCGGGCATCCTCCACACACCGACATTTTCCATACGCGTCGATCAAAGGGCCCAAGATCCTGGAGTCGCTCGCAAAGGGGCTCGCGCGGAGATGGGAATCGATGGCTTTGAGCTTGCGGAGATCGCTACCGCACGACTTGATCCTTGTGACCCATTCCCACCACATGTAATGCTAGGATATATGCCGCGCGTCACACCCTATATGTGCCGCGCGTCGCGAATACATACCGCCCGGCTCGGTCGATCGTCCGAGAAAATTGCCGCGCGTCACCGACTAACTACCGTGCGGCTCGATGGCGGCCGGGATAAATGCCGCGCGGTACGTTCGTTTTGGTTGATGCCAGGCGTGCTAGCACTAGGGGAAGGAAGGATGGAGGCATATTCGCGGGGATTCGCTTCTCTGGCGTGTTCTTCGCTGCCCAGGAATCTAAGCAGCGCTAGGGCTCCACCATTCCATTCCTCCGCGGATTCCTTCCTTCGCTCCCGGATTTCGTTCGTTCTTTTCTCGCGGGGGCGCCGCGGGGGCGTAGGGCGGCAGCCATTGCGGACGCTGTTCATGGCGCCCAGGGACGATCTGGAGATTGTTTCCGGGGATGGGGAGCTGCGCAGCGAGATCCTCCACAACATGCCCACGGTGAAGAGGCGCAAGTACCGCGCGTTCCCGGTGATTGGCAGCAACCGGCATGTGGAGACCGTCTTCGCGGCATTCTACCGCCATCGGCCCAAGATGAGGTTCCGGAGGGAGTGCTTGCGGATGATCGATGGCGGCACTGTGGCGCTGGACTGGCCGGTCATGGGCGAGGATCGCGACGCCGCCAAGTGGAGAGAAAAGCTTCCATCCGATGCTCCAGTTCTCATCTTCCTGGTAAGAACACTTCTCTCTCGTAGAGTTATAGTTTTTTCCTTCTTTTCTTGCATGCTTTGCATGGTTGGAGCTCTTTCTTTTCCATCGTTCTCGAGGAAGAGTTCTTCGTTGTTTCTTCGAGAACGACGTCGAGCTTGCCAAGTAGTTTTTCTCGTTGTTTCTTCGAGAGCCACGTAGTTCTTCGTTCTTTCTAGAGCTTGCCAAGTAGTTTTTCTCGTTCTTCGTGTTCTCGATAAGAGTTCTTCGAGAGCTTGCCAAGTACTTCTTCGTGTTCTCGATAAGAGTTCTTCGTTGTTTCTTCGAGAATCACGTAGTTCCTCGTTAGTTTTTTCCTTGGAGTTCTATGTTTTTTCTTCAAGAGTTTGCTACGTATTTCTTCGTGTTCTCACGGACTTCTTTGCTCTCCTCAGCCAGGACTAACTGGAGGAAGCCATGACTCGTACGTGAAATACTTGGTTTCAAGAGTTCGAAACATTGGATGGCACACGGTGGTATTCAACAGCCGTGGCTGTAGTGACAGTCCAGTTACGTCTCCAAAGGTACCAAAGAGGAACGAAATGCCTTTGTGGTTATTTGATTCTTCTTCTCTTTCGTTCGTAGTTCTACTCAGCTTCTTTCACAGAAGATTTGAGACAAGTCGTGAGATTTGTGGCGTATCGTTTCCCCGAGTCGAGGATCTACGCGGTCGGATGGTCGCTGGGGGCCAACATTTTAGTGCGTTATCTCGGCCAGGTTCGTGTCGTCAAGCACAAACTTTCCGACTTGGTTTGTAATTGGCAGGAGGGAGAAAATTGTATACTCAGTGGCGCAGTGTCCCTGTGCAATCCTTTTGATCTTGTGGTTGCAGACGAGGATTTTCGCAAAGGTTTCAACAACATCTACGACAAGAGCCTTGCAACGAGCCTTCGGACAATCTTTAGAAAGTAAAGTCACAACGTTGAGTTTCCTTCGTCGTTGTCTGTAATTCGCACTGCAGGCACGCGGCCTTGTTTGAAGAGATCGGTGGTGAATACAACATTCCTCTGGCGGCCAATGCAAAAACCGTGAGACAGTTTGACGAAGGATTAACTCGAGGTAACGAGTACTTAATAAAACCTTGAACTTACACTGTGTGTTTTGGCTTTCGTAGTTTCGTTCGGCTACAGGTCAGTGGATGAATACTATGCCGATGCCAGCAGCTCGAAATCTATCGAGCACGTCAAAGTCCCATTGTTTTGCATCCAGGTCTTGTTCCTTTCATTTTTGTTTCTAGACAATCTCGTAAAACTCTTCCATTCCAGGCTGCCAACGATCCTATTGCTCCAAACCGAGCCATTCCTCGTGCAGCAATCAAGGTACGAGCTTTACTCGTGGAAGGAAAGCAATGTTTTTCAAACGAGTTCTTTGTCCAGGAGAATCGCAATTGTTTGCTCGTGGTGACACCGAAAGGAGGCCACCTTGGCTGGGTCGCAGGCCAAAACGCCCCGTTTGGAAATCCATGGACAGACACTGTGGTGGTGGAGTATCTGGAAGCAGTCGAGTCGCTCTACAGGGATAGAAAATCAATCCAGAGGGAGCAAGTCTCGAGAAAAGAGGACGATCACGTCGAGATCGCTTGCGCCACCTAGAGCGACGCGGCTGCTCGTTCATAGCTATCGATCGGTGTGTACATAGAGACGATTCTTTCATTCATAAAGAAGAAAAGCGAGAGCTTTCACGCAAACCCGACGAGAGCGCTCGCGAATTCTTCCGGGAGCTCGATCTGGACGTCGATTCCACCGTCCTGGATGAAGCAAAGCTCTCCATTGCGAAGCTCTTTGGATGTTTTGATGGTAGCATCTTTGAGAAGCTCGTGGTCGCCACACATGCAAAGTGTCGGCTGCGTGATTCTGTCCACCAAGCTCTCGACTTTGAGAAGAAGAGGGAGCTCCCGCGCCCTGGGATTGCTCTGGAGCATCTCCAGCAGCCTCGAAGCTCGAGCGTGCGGCGGCATTTTGTAGCTTGGCTTTCCCGGCACCTTGTTCCTGATCTTCCAGAACTTTATCACGGCTTTGAGATCCTCGTCCTCGAAGTCTGGAGCTTCCGGCACCAACTTCTTCACGCTCTCGTCTAGAATCGGGACCCCCCACAGTGCCAGCTTCTTCACACTCTCCGGGAAATCCACCGCAAGCTGCATCGCTATGGCTGCTCCAATGTGATGACCCACGACAATGCTTGGCTCCGAGAGAGTTAGCAAGGGAATCGCTTCAAAGACGTACCTCGTGATGGTCTCGAGGCTGACTTCGCAGTGGAAGGACTCGCCATAGCCTGGTATGTCTATCGCCACTGCTTGGTATCCTCGACTTGCCAGCAATGGCATGACGGGCTCCCACATCTTTGACGAGCTTGGATGCTGGTGGAGAAGAAGAAAACTTCCCAGAGAATTCCCTTCCGGATCGGCGCGGCGATAGTGAATCTGGCCATCGCTCACGGAGACGTAGCCTTTTCGGATCATTTTCCACTGTGTAGTAGCCTAGAACAGTAGTCAACTCAAAAAACAAAAAGAAGAATGGGGTCACTATAACAAAACAACTTTGTCACGTCTCTCTGGTTAACCTCCTGGCTGTTGAAGCTGCTTGGAGTAACGCCATGGCGGTTTCGTCGTTTTTGAGTATCTGTGGCATAAAAAAGTTTCTTGAGAACAGAGAAAAGATAAGCATGAAAGAGCGCACCTCAGCTTTCGCTATATTGTTGAGCTGTTCTTGGCGTTTGATCTGCTCCTCCAGATCGAGTATCTTCCTAGACTCGGCTTGAATAACTTCATCCGTGCGCCTATGACAAGGTGACAATGTTGCCTGACACTGGAGCTCGAAAAAACACTACTTACAATCTCTCCCTTTCGAGATCCGCACCATGCTTTTGTTGTTCTTTAATCCAGAACTGGTACTCCTTGGCCATAGCTTCCGCATCTTCCTGGAAAACTGTGTGAGAAGCTTTGTAACAATGAAATGACAAAGAATTACCTGTAGATAGTCTATAAACTTTCCGAGAGGACTTATAGCTTGGCACAGAGCTTGAATGCTTTCTCGTAACTTTTGCAACTGTTCTACGCACGAGTATTTGGTACCGAAGGAATAGACGCGAAAAGATACCTCTCACCTCGTCGCGTTTGCTGTCCGTCTCGACCTTGGTTCCACTTGGCTCCGTATACACTTCAGACAATTCCTCATCCTGGACGCTGTTCTTATCTGTGGGAACAATATCAGACACTTTTTCTATCGAGCTAGAAAAATAAAAAAGGAGAATCACAGACATTATCATCTTTATCATCCATGTTTGAGCCCCGCTGGTTCTACCTGGAATTTGCCCAAGTCCGTGATCCTCAGTTTGTATCGGAGCTGCAACAAACACTTCCTGGAGCGACTAGAAAACCACAAAAAGAAGAAGCTGACCTTGGTGGCTGAGATCCAACTCTGTGGAAGCCATGCTCTCCGCTACAGCATCCTCTTCTTGCTCGTTCACAGCCCCAGGCGAATAGATAACTTGTACCTTGGTGGCATCCACAGGCTGTGGTGGTGTGGCCACTTCTTGGGTCCTCGTCTTGTTGGAAAGCTCTGCCGCGTCGGGAGAAGGACTGTAGATGGACCTCCTTAGCTTCTCGGATGATACAGACTGACTCGAGGAGGCGCTTTCACGAGATATGAGTCCACTGTAAAGCAATGCAAGTAACTTCGCGATCAAAAAGCTAAACCATTGCACAAAGAGGTACCTATGATCGGATGAAGGCATAAAGTCTCCAGCTAAACAGCGGTAGACAGCTTTTGCAGCTTTTTGGCTGTCTGTAGTGGCTGCTTGAGCCAGCATCTGTTCATAGAATTTTGTTTTAGTATATTTTTCCAAAGCATCAACAGCTCTTCACTGGCCTGCAAGAAGACGTTGGTTTGCTCGGGTTCCAGCCCAGCCAGAATCTGTACGAAAGCCAAGTAGAAATCTCGAGGCCAAGATGGAAGAAACGAAAGAAAAAACGAAGGTATACCTTGGCTGGACGCACTGGAACGTTCGCATTTAGCGTAAGGCCAACGCAGTTGATGATCTTCGTGAGATAACGCAACTTAGCGTCCTTGTCCTAGAATTTTGACAAAGAACAATGCGAGGCTTCAATGCAAAGAACAATGCGCGAGGAAACAAATACAAAAGAAAGTACCTTAAGCTCCAATGGAGCAAGCTCGTCGGCTGCGAAGAGTCCCTCTGCAAACCCGGTGCGTCGCGTAACCTGGAAACCAAGAAATTCTATTGCTCCAAAGAAAGAACTAGAAAAAAGAAAAACCGGGAAGACAATGCCGCAAACCTCAGAGACGATGTCGTGGAGGAATCGAAATGGCGGGCGCTTTAGCAGCGCCTCCGTGAGCTTTGGACGCTTCACGATTGGATCGATCCCGTGCTGGAGGAGGCGCTGCGTCGTCATCCAGTAGGCCTCCATTTTCTCACTCTCCTTTTCAAAAATTAGGGCTCCTCCCAAAGTTTAGGGTTCTTGGCGCAATGTCTTACGACGATGTAGAGATCGAGGACATGGAGTGGAACGAATCGCTCACGGCGTACACCTATCCCTGCCCTTGCGGCGATCTCTTCCAGATCACAAAGGTAAGGCGCGGCGCCCGCTCGATCGCCTCGCCTCCAGTTGCTTACCCTCGCTCTCTCTCTAGGCGGAGCTCAAGATCGGCGAGGAGTTCGCGAGGTGCCCAAGCTGTTCGCTTTATATCAGAGTGATCTACAACGCGGTAAGTCGATTCGAGTGTGTTGTTCTTGCGCTTCCTTCGCTGAGTGTGATTGTTTTGGCAGGAGGATTTCCAGGAGGAGAAAACTCCCATGAAGAAGAGCGCGCCAGTTCTTGTAGCATCTTAGCGATCGAAGCCTCTCTCTCCTGTGAGTTCTTAGATCGATCACAGCATTTTGTCTAGTGAGATCAGCTTAGTTCTAGCGGCAAAACTAGATTTTGTTAGAAGTTTCACAGTGGAACACGCTAGAGAAAGGAAGATCTTTTCGCTCGCTTCTCTAGAGAGATCGATCGCTTTAACTTCTCTTGCTTGGCCGGGACCATAGAAAACTCGATCATCCATCGTCCACGGGCGCAGTGGCCAAAACAGAGACGATGGAAGCGACACCTCTCCTAAACAACAAAGGCGTCGGCTTGTTTGCTTTCGCCGTTCCATCTTGTCCCACGCCCATCAAGAAAGAAGAAGAAAAAAAAAAGCATAGAAAAAAAAGCCCTTTTAAGTACAAAAATACCTTTTTTGATTAAAAAAAAAAAAAAGAGTACCAGATAAAAAAACACCCAAGAAACTTAAGCTCTCTTTCAGTCCAGTCCTATATCTCCAGTAGCTGGGCGGTATTGCTTGTCTTGATCCTTGCATTGTGTCCTTGTCACTGGCAGCCTTTGGGCGAGCAAGGGCCATGATTTCTTTCGTGTGCCCGAGCTGATGCTTTGGAATATTCTCCGCCGGGCATATTCCCCGGGAATAATCTCGCGAGGAGCTCGCGAGCAAGGAGAAAAACAAGTCCTTTGAATGCGTTTCGCCTATGCTGGCAATGATGTCTTCTTAGCAAAGCGCTCCTCCCGTGGGGACCCCAGAAAAAATTCTAGTTTTTCCTCTTTGCTTTCGTTGCTACGCTTGGATCCAAGCGAGTAGGAAAGTGGAAGAACAAAGCCAGCTCGCGCGAGCAGGGAGGAATTTTCTCCTTCGCCCCAGCCAGGGCTCCACCAGTTCTTCGCGAAAAAAAAAAAAAAAAAACATCAAATGGTTATCACATCGCGCACCTAGAATCGTACGAGCTATGGTGGAAATTCGAGGGTGGTAGAAGAAAATGGATGGAACTTGGCAGAAGAACACAAAGCACAGCGTTTTGGATGAACTTTTTCCCGTTTCTGCAACTTCACGATTTTTCCCTCTCGATCATCAATGCCAAACAATCTATTATCAATCTCCAGGAGACACGCTCGCTCGATCGAGGACGATCGAGGATCGTATTTATGAGAAGCTCGAAACTTTCTACTCCCTCTACTCCCGGGAGTTCTACCATGAGATCTTTGGCGATTTTCTCACACTTGCCAGCATCGTTGGTTGCTACCCACCTGGATTCGCGAACGCTCAAGTCGCCGCATCTCTCGCCGCGAGACGCGCCCGTTGGTTCCCGGGATGAGCTCAACGATGGAACTTTTGTAGAACATCTAGCTCGCAAGCAAAGTCGGGAATCTCTTTTTCTTTCTTTCCGGGAGAGCTGCGTGGATCGATTCGATACTTACATTAGAGAGGAGGAAATACAAGCAAAGAAAAAGGGAACCAAACGATCTTTTGGAGAAAGGGAGAGATGATCTTGGCCAGCAATGCGCCTTATGATCTTGGAAGAAGTAGAGGAAGAGGAGAAGTCGCGCGAGAGAGATGACCCCGGCGTGTTCTTCATCTGTGTGTTGGTGACACGTCTGGGAAAATTCGGCTTGACTTGATTGCGCCGATCGATCGAATCGATGACTTGGAGATATGTACGAAAGCTCTGGAGATCACCACCGCTTCGCAACAACATCAAACTTGGTTCTTGGAACACAATCTCCTCCCCGGTAACTATTACGAGAGTAAGATCGAACGAGAGAGAGAGAGAGAGAGCACTTGGGAGGAAGAAGAAAAGCTTGAAAACACGAAAACTAGGCCTAGGGAGGATGGCTGCGAGTAGACGAATGTTTCCTTCTTTCTCGATCACGGGTGGCCATGGTGCTGGTGTGGAGGATTGCTGCGGAATGATCCCAAGGCCTTGAGCGCCGAGCCCGCTCTAAGCACGTATTGGTGATAGATCGCTGCCGCGGCAGCTCCAATGAAGGGGCCGACCCAGAAAATCCACTGGAAAAACAGAGAAAAACAGAGGATTAGACCATGAACGAACAGAGCTCTCTTCCTCTCTCTCTCTTGTGCTTACTTGATCGTCCCATGAAACACTCTTGTTGAAGATCACCGCGGCTCCAAAACTCCTCGCCGGGTTGATGCCCGTTCCAGTGATTGGAATGGTGGCCAAGTGAACCATGAACACCGCGAATCCGATGGGAAGAGGAGCCAGCACCTGGAAAAACATTTCCCACACGAGCGCGACAGCAAGAAAACGATCAAAATCTCTGTTTTTTTGGTGTTCTTCCGAGAAAAAAGGAGGGAGGAGCTCGTGATTCTTACCGGGACGTGCGAGTCTCTGGCGACGCGCTTGGGATCCGTGGCCGAGAAGACGGTGTAGACGAGAACGAAGGTGCCAATGATCTCGGCTCCCAGCCCGGTTCCCGTGCTGTAGCCCCGTGCTCTTGCCACGGAGTTTGCTCCTCCCCCCTGCTGGACGTAGAAGCTCTTCTGGAAGCCCTTTGCGAGGCCGCAGCCAACGATCGCTCCCAGGCACTGCATGATCATGTAGAAGATCGCCCGGGGCAGCGAGACCTTGCGGGCGACGAAGAGGCCGAAGGTCACAGCCGGATTGATGTGTCCTCCTAGAGAAGTTTCAAGTTAGAAGATCTTCTAGACAGCTTGTGCTCGATCGGAAGAAGAGTGGAGAATTCACCTGAGATTCCTGCAGTGCAGTAGACAAGCACGAAGATCATGCCTCCAAACGCCCACGCGATCCCCAGGAGGCCGACGCCACCGCAGTTTGCAGCGTTTCTCGAGTGGCCGATGACTGTCTGGACGGTGATGTAGAGGAACAAGAGCGTGGCCACGAACTCGGCAATGCCGGCTCTGTAGAAGGACCATGAGCCAAACTCTTTGGGATCCACAAGCCGGGCCGGCGGTGGCTCCTCGTAATCCTTGGCCGTCACGAACGCCTCCGATTCCTTGCTCGCGTCCTTGGCCATGCTCGATCGATCGCAGTTCTTGGGCGAATTCGAATTGGAGGAGGGGAAATGCGAGAGATGGAAGAGGGGACCTCTGCTTCCTGGCACACACAGAGTCTTATAAGAGAAAAAGCTAAAGAAAAGTTGGAGCTTGGCTTGGCTGGCGCACTCACAAGGCCGAGAGAGTGAGAGAGAGAAAGAGAGAGATAGAGGATCCTAAGAGAAAGAAAGAGGAAAAAAATTTCCTATCTTTTTCTTCTTTTGCCCCTTTTCGAGTTGAGCGCTAAGATTGGATCACACTATAGCTTTGGAGATGTGACGATCAAACACTCCGAGAATCACAGTGGAAGCGGGAGCTTTGCTTTTAGGTAAAGCTGCTCTCGTGATTTTAATCGTCCCGGGTTTGTGCTCGTGGTAAAAGCTTATCTTTTATACGAGGCCAGTGACAGGAGAGACGGGTGGTCCCCTCACTGACGCCGTCACCTATGGCCGTCAAAGGGACCACGACCGCACACTTGGCATGGATTACATTGAGAAAAATATTAGAATATTCCTGCTTTGGATCAATCAATTTTGATCAATACAAGAGTTTGGCTGTATTGTTTTCGTGAACCCTATCGTATCTATCTCTCCTTCTTGCTTGAAGGGTCTAGAGTTTGCTAGAAGAAGAGATCTATTTAATGGAACTTTGGCATGTTGGTCCCCCCCTGGAAAACTCCCAAGTGTTTAATTCGCCATGTTTCGTACATAGGGCGCGCCGTACGTGTGCATGGCGGGCGCGTCCGTACGATGCGAGGGCCATGTGGGCGCCCGTACGCCCGAATCAGGCCCGTTGGGGCGCCCTAACGGTCGGGGCCCTGCCAAATTCCCGGCCGAGCACGGGTGGGGCCCACCGCTGCCACGTGAGCGCTTCCTGACGCCAGCTGGGCGCACGGGGCTGGTCCCATCCGACCGACCATGTGGCCTCCAATGCTGCGCTGGCACGTCGGCATATGCATACACACAAACACACAACAGGGGAGGGCCTTATCAACAACATTCTTACTGTGATTTAAGATATGTTTAGCGCCACTTTTTAATCTTTGTTTTGGTTTTCTTTCCTACGTCGTTGCCACTGAAGGAGTTGGCTAGATGTCAAGCGTCATTTTAGGGCATTAAGCTGGATTTCATTATCAGTCGCCCTCAAAGGTGGCCGCACTTAGTTGTTTATGGTTATGATGATAGGGAGTTTCTTCTCTTTGAGCGGTGGTCTTTAGTGGAGTGTTTTGTGGAGAGGGAAGTGATCATAGCAGCTAAAACCACAGCCTCATCCGATTCCTCTCCACTCAGTGGGCGGGGACAAAATTGTACGTGGGTTTGAAAAGCTAGAGATGGAGAGATTTTGTGCAGAGAAAAATTGTATAATAGTAATGAGTGAACTTTCTGAGATTTATATCATATAAATCTTAAACTTTTTTTTTTGAGAACTTTACAATTTAAATAAAAACTCATTTAGGAGTTATGCATAAAATATTCTTCATACAAAATTGCTACATTTAAAAAACAAATTCCACCTTTATATGGATTATTGAGTTTTTTAATTATATCACTTTATCACATTGCCATAAAACAATATTATTTATATTTTAAATTTTCTTTTCTTTTATTATTATTATATTAGAAACATTATCCATTTTTGAAAAAAATAAATCAGTTCCAATATTATATTTAATATTTTATTTAATATAAGGTTTTTGTGATCCATAAGGAAATGGTTATCCATATAGTGAAAGAAAAGTTACATAAAAACATAAGTTTGTCATTTCAACTATATGCTTCATGACATTATAACTATATTTTATGATTATATGGTATAATAAATTTAAGTAGAAAATAAAATTTTATAAAATAATAATAAATAACTTAGTTACTAGCTAGTCCAAAAAAAATGCATTAATCAATTAAAGATCAATCATTAAAAAATATTAAAAATCAGTCATAACTTGATATTTTTATGCTCCAATTAATAGCTTCTTGATAAATGAGTGAGAAAAAGTTATCTACAATAAAATTATACTAAAAATTGTTTAAAAAAATTCATTTAAATATAAAATTTTGAAGTAATTTTTAATATAATAAGTATTTTGTGTTAAATAGTTATCTCTTTGCAAGCACATTCCTAAATTTTTTAAAATTAACATTAGTCAAAAGCACTAATAAATAATTAACCTCACGTTGTA